TCCGATAATTCTTTGGTTCTCGAGTCTGCCGAAGCTCTCGTTCAGTTCTACGAGGATTTCCACCGCCACGAGAAGGTAATCGAAACCTACACCAAGCTCCTGCAGCACTACCGTAAGCACCTAGGCGCCGGCCACAGCATGACTGTCCAGGTTCTTTATAAACTTGCTGCTGTCTACCACAAGCTAGGCCGCAAGGAGGCTTATAATTGTTACGCCGAAATTGTAACAATCTTCTCAAAGGATGGCTGCTGCCACGGTAGTGCGCTCGACGCAGCCATCGTCGTTCTTAATCACTACTACTCCGAGAAACGCTGGGATGAGCTCCAGAAGATCTGTGTGACTCTGTGGACTACCTTTATCCATCATAACCGCGAGGTCAAATTCACCCAAGAGATCGTTGAACTCATCTACGAGAGATACCGCTATGTCTTGGAGTTCCACGCCAAGGCAGAGTTCTCCGTCCGCTACAAGATCACAATCGAGTATCGCGACACTGCTACCAAGATTTTTGGCGCCTCAGCTGCTATTGTGATCAAGGCCTTGATTGCTCAGGCCGAGCTTTGCGAAAGCTCCAGCGAGCGCTGCCATGAGTCCATCACCATCTACGAGGAGATCATCAAGAAGTCAACGATTGTCAACATAGTTTCGGAAACGACTGTCAAGATGATCAAGAAGCGCTTGTCCAAACTGTATGTTACCGTCATAACAACCAATAAGGTAACGACTACTTCTACTATTGAACGCGCAATCGGAGTTAGTCTTGAGATCTACGGGCAGCTCAAGATTGATTTTGGCTGGTGGCATGAGAAGACACTTTCCAAGCTGAAGGAAATCATCTTGATGTACAAGAAGATTGGAAGCAAGGAGGCACACTCTTCCATCACTCAGATTCTTCAGCTCTCCGTTATCGAAGTCATCACCAATGTCAGGGTCTCGGCGAACCTGCACGCTGCTGCCAAGACATTGGCGTCCATCTATATCTCTGCTGGCATGGTCCACCATGGCCAAGACCTCCTTCGCCAGCTGCGTTACCTCCTCCTTTTCCCTGGATTTGAGGGTGCTGAGCAGGGAATAAACATCAAGGTCTCCGGCCAGTCCAGCAAGGTCTACCTGGTGTTCCTCATCTCTTTCGAACAGGCTTTGAACGGGGAGTCAAAGGCGACCTATAGCTTTTCCGGACTCATGGCTGACGTGCTTCTTGAGACGGTTCTCTACGAGCAATACACGTCTGCCATGTCAACAGTGACTGAATCTACCATGATTGAGACCATTATCGAGCCCGCGGCTCGCCTTCGCTTTGTTTGGGAGTCGCGTGGCCGCAAAGGTTTCGTGTCTGTGCTAGACAAAAAGCTGTTCCCCCTCTTCACCGCAAGATATGGCAAATTCCTCGGAAGCCATGACAGCAATGTCACATTTAGCTTCTATGAAGCGTTGCTTACCGAGATTGGCGGTGGAATCGCGGCCGATACGGGAACCGTCGACATTGGTCTCATGTCCTGCAAAGCAGCCTACACGTCCGTCAGGCGACTCATGATACTGGAGAACAACTTTGCCAAGGCCAATAGCGTGGCTAAGTGCGCATCCGAATTCGCCGGCTCCCAGCGATTCTACCATCAGCGCAACTGTCATGTCTGGGGCTTCCGCTTGGCCGAGGTTTTGGCTGGCATTAATGTGGACAACTGGAAGACGGCTGACGCAAAGCAAAAGGAAAACATGCTCACAACTAGCCGAAAAATCATCAAGAACGTTCTGGTTGCTCTTAAGGAAGATAAAATTGAGTCGGCCAGTCTCCGCTTCGAGGACATCTCCAGCTTGGTTTATCTTCTTGGTGAACAGAAGGAATGGAACGAGCTCGAGGTAAGCTCCCCTCTGCACTTAGGTTTCACGGTGAGGTTTAACTAACCATGGCTTCAATAGGCCATTCTCACTTCTCTTTGGCAGTCAAGAGAGGTGCAGCGCAACTACGGTATCTGGACACCCGACGTTGTGCTCAACATCGGCTCCTTTTTGGTAAACGCCCACGAGCTTGCCAATCACCTTGACCAAGCCATCAACCTGTGCGAAACCATTTACTACAACGTCCGTCAATCTCGTGGCGGTCTGGATCAGTCGGCTCTCTACTTCGCGAACCGTCTCACTTACCTTCTCCGGCATGCCAGTCGCCTCCACGACGCTGGGCGCGTCCATCTAGATGTTGCGTGCGATCTTGAGGAGCATCTCACAGCCACGCGTGGCGCAGACAAGGACGATCGTCTCCGCGCAGCAGCCGAGCTTCACCTTGACGGCATGCGGCGGTGCGGCTGGGCTACTCGTGGCGACGGCATGAAGAATACGCGGGAGATGCTCGAGCGGCTCAGGGGGTACGGGAGGCTGAGCGTGGCCCCCGTAGAGGAGTGGTCCGCGACGGATGAGAAGAAGGAGATGGGCCGTCCGTGGCCTGAACCGATCACTTGGAACCTTGGGAAGCCGGAGATGAAGGTGGCAGCCCCAAAGAAGAGAGATTTGGTCAACCCTGCCAAGGAGAGGTGGGGCCGCCTGGGCTTCAGGCAGTTCGGATTCGAAGCTGTCTATTAGATACCAAGGCATGAGGAACTTGGCTGCTGAATTCTATCAGCCATGTTGAAAGGCCCTGAGAGTGGCCGTGAATTGTGGTGGACGCCCGAGTCTGGGTTATCAAGGAATTTGGGGAACGACTATGAGCCCCACACTACGACCATCGCTGGTCAAGATTGAATTCCATTGAGTCTTAGTATTTGATATTTAGTGTATCGAGTGAATAGTTTCTTGTTATAATTATAATATGAAGTACACACTCAGATCATCTTTCATTGCTGTTTGAAGCACTATCTCTTCATCCAAGTCTTGTCGATAGTGCTCATCAATATTCGATATTACTTGAGCCATGGGCCACAATCTTCTGGCTGACTCGGGACTTACATCAATGATGAATCAAAGCCATGGCTAACGCAGACAATATCGAACCCTATTCAAGACAAGCATATTTCTAGAGCCAAGAATTGCTGCGCTCATACCTTGATTTACATGTAGCACTTGCGTATAGTATTATTCGATGAATGACATTGGCCAATGACGGCAAAGAAGCATCAGCCGACAGATCCCGGAAGGAACCGCCAAAGACCCGCTCCCGGACCCGGCTGGATGGTGGAATTCATGCTTGATAATGTACCACTCTGTATGGACGGCCAGCCAGGAATGAGATTCACTTCCTACTTGCCCCGAGAAAAGTCGGCATCGATTGGCATCAGTAGGTGCTAGGGATAGAGTTGTAGAGTGAAAGAGTGATGTATTGCCGAGTAATTATCGTAAAAGGCAGATACATATAGTGACTTGCGTGCCTGGCGTAGTATAGCAGTACATGACTTGTAGAATTCAGAAGTTATTTTTTCGGGTCATTCGCATCAGGAGAGCCTGGACCATGCCAGTGTCCCGTAGGATCAATATGCTGGTACGCATTGTGAACACAAAATGCCCAGCCACACTCCAACGAGCCCGTACTAACACCGCAAGGGTATCTGCTTAGTTGCCTGCCCCCGACATCACCCTCCGCCCACATATTCGCATGGATGGGCAATTCGAACGTCTTTGCTGCCTGTCTGGGCGCCTCGCAACTGCAACGCAGATGAGCTCCGGGGGCCCCATTCTGCGACTTGCCCACAACCTTGCAGTCCTTGCAAGCATCGGCCAGCCTGTAGCTGTCGGCAGTTTTGCATTAGCACAGCGTGGAGGACCTGTTAATTATATAGAGTGTCAGAGTACTAACCTCATCATCTTTTGCCAGGTCAGCGTGCCCCCTCCTGCATCGTTGAATGCAAGGCAGTTTTGCAATGGCAATTTTCTGACATGCTCGAACTCGCCGTTCTTCTTTCGACAACAGCTGTATAACATCCACTCTTCACGGACCGATACTGCCCTGAGTTTCTCCATGACGACGCGAGTGCCTTTGCAAGTTCCGCCAAAGGTGTCATACCCGGGCTGATCCTTCACGCCCTTTTCAGCCATAAGACCGTTGAGTTTGTGCAGACATCCTTCACTCCAACGGTCGTACCCAGGCGCATCTGGCTTGTCGCTTTGAGCGAGAACGAGGGTTGAAAACAAGAGGGTTAAGAGAACGGTGGCGAGCATATCTAGGCTGGCTTTTGATATTCGCTTTGGTGCAAACTTGATCATGAAGCTAGAACGAATATGAGCATAGGATCGGGTAGAGGGGCCATATATATATCAAGAGGTTAATGGCGGCTGAGAACCCTGAGGTTGAAACTTTCATATGCCCATGGACTCAGAACAATATTTTCTAGCCGCCAAAATCCACAAATTTGATGTAGTAGAGCTGTCACCTGAGTGGCTGTCTACAACCTTGTCACTCTGGGGTACCCTCCTATTGCCCATTATTCAAGCCCAACAGAGCCTGCGTTAGGGGCGAAAGGTAACAAAGGATGTTAATAGCGAATCTAGAACAGCCCTAACAGTCAACTTAACAACCCTCCCCTTTGACTTTGTGAGTAGCTTCACTTCCAACCATCCAGCCTTGTGGCCAAAGTTGGGTCAGTTGCCTACTTGATAAATATGTAGTCAGGTCATTTACATCCCTGAAGCCCAAGAGCTTCATGGTCACCCTTCTGGTGATAACATTCATTGGGAGGTGGGCACTTAGAGATAGTTTTATACCATCAACGAATAGCTCTGACTACTCATTACTGCTACAGACCGAGTAGAATCTGCCCATAAGGTATCTAGAATTAAGGACATACTCTTAGGTAAACACTCTGAGTCGCTAAATTTGCTAATACACTGAAGTAAGATGAGTGAGCATTCCGCCTTATTGTAGGCTCCAATTGTAATTACTGGTTCCACGAGAGATCAATATTTTTCTTCCTAGATTTCATATAATCTATCTCTCCGATATCTTCCAAGTTTGTACAATAATTATGGTATCACTGAAAATCCAAATATGTCTCCTCCAACGAACTCTGACGCCCTTTTCAGATGTGCTTCGATCCATCATCAATGCCCTTCGGGGAACCAGTCAAAACCTCCTCATCGAAGTCCTGGCTGTCGGTGTTGTAAGCAACACGAAGGTCGTCAATCTCGTCTCCAACCTCCATCCACCTATCGCTGCAGGCAGGAATCGGGGACACCTTGCACAGGCCCCAGTACATGCCACTTGAGACAATGAAGCCAGCAAAGAAATTGACGTTGTAGATATAGGTGGCACCTACGGGCACATCTCGACCGATTGCGCCCGCAAAGCCAACGACGTTAACCAGGATCCCGGAGATGTATGCAGCATAGCCGCGCCAGTGAAATCCGTAGGTAAAATAGTACGGTCCGGTCTTGCGCGCATCGTATAATTCCTTGACCTCGAGATATCCCCGGCGGACAAAGTAGTAATCGGAGCACATGACGCCGGCGATAGAACTGAGGAAAACACTGTACGCCGACAAGTACGTGGTGAACTGGTTGGCGGTGGTGAGAAGCGTGTACGGGCACATGGCCAGACCCACGGCAGCACAGATGTATCCACCGCGGCGGATGCTGAGCCATCGAGGTAGTAGAGCCGTCATATCAGTACCGGCCGAAACCGAATTGGCGGCGATGTTAGTTCCGAGTTGAGCCAAGGCGAACGATGCGGCAATCACAAAGACGCCGAATCTCTGGCCCGAGCCGCCGTCGTCAATGAACCTTTCAAGGAGGTCGAGCGGATCCCAGATCTCCTTGCCGTAGATGACCACCGAGGATGAAGAGACCATGATTCCGATGAACGAGGTTAAGGCGAAGCCAAGGGGAATTGTGAAAAGCTGGGACCATAGCGCATCGCGAGGCTTTGAGGCGAAACGGGAGAAATCGGGGTCGTTGACGATGAGCGTCGCAAAGTTGGCGATGGAGGACATGACACCCTTGACGAATTCCCAGGCGAGCTCGCTACCCTGCTTTTTGGCGGGTTGGCGTACTACGGGGCCGATACCACCAGCACGAACGATGGCCCAGATCATGAAGGCGATTCCAGCGCAGGGAACGGCGTATGACTTGACCGTAAACAAGTGGCGAATCTTGTGAACTGGGAACCAAATGGCGGGTAGGGAGCAGAGCCAGAAAATGAAAAACGACACCCAGTCCGCTGTGGTGGTGCCGGAATCATCGGGGAAAGTATTGGGGATCTCATCGCGGTCCTGGTGAGTGGTTAGATTGTGACATTCGGACATGGCTCCGAAACCGGCTGATGCGACTCACCCACGACTTCCAGATGGAACGAATCATTAAATAAACGCAGTGGCCTCCAATGTAAGACTGAACACCGTACCAGACACAAGCTGGTTAAAATCAGCAAACGCTTCTATGGGGAGGAATGCTGCCAGACATACCCATAGCCGCACGGTTGAAGACAGGCCACAGACTACCCCAGATGCCAAAAGAGGACCTGTTGACGACGGGGAAACCGATGTGGTACTGAGCGCCGATACGGCCGGTTAAGCAAATGAAGCAACCGGCAATGGCATAACCTATCCAGACACAGAGCCACGACTGCCACCATGAGAGACCGTTGACGATCATGGAAGATGAGATCATCCAGGTGTTGACGTTGAAGGAATCTGCGATCCAGAAAGCCACGAAGTTCCAAGGACCCCACTGCCGTCTCTCGGGCTCGACACTTTTCAACTGTCAGTAACGAGGCCACCACATGCTACACGAACAGCATTCAACGCCAGATGCTTACGGTTTCAGGTCATAGTTGGTAAGCTACGAAATGCGATTGTCAGCCTCTGCTCAGATGCCCATAAGTTTACTGGGCGGGCAGATCCATACCATCAGCTGTGCGCTGGTTAGCCCGGGTTCCGACGTGACGGCGATTTTGTCGGCCCAGTATCTCCATCTTGAGGTGTGAGCCTTCTCCGGCCGGGCGGTAGTGGTCGCGGTATCCATGTCCATCTCGGCAGTCTAAGCAAGGCGACGAGGGATATGTGTGCGGTGTCTTGTTTCGGTCGAGCAACACAGGTTATAGGCAAGTTTAAGAGGTTGCTAGCCGTTTAAAGACCGGGACGAAGACTGTCAGACGTTGCGATGACGCTAGGCACGTGGAGTAATGGGCCGAGAGCCAGAAAATTGGGTTGGAGGGTGAGACGGATTAAGATCTGCACGGATAACAGCCCAAACAGTGGCAATTCCAAGGCCGTCGACTGAGGGGAACGCTCCAGTTGGTCTCACGCCACGGGACATTGGAAACTAAACAGCGGAGGAGGTCGCCAGATATATATTTTACTTACTGGGCCGGGGTCGGTATGGGGAGGCCGATAAAGAAACATGGAGCCTCGTTAGCCGCTCCGCGTGTCGAGCGGCATCGATTAATAGACCCGGAAATCGCACGGACGCTACCCCCACATTGACAAGCTCTTCAATCTCGTCTGCATCCTCTCTGCCTTCTCTCCAAGACAAGTTTGGATGAGGAGAGTGGACATGAGGTATCCGTACGCATGCAAGGCATCCCACGAATCCAGGCAAGGGTGTCCGGTCTCGCCGCGATTAGGTACAGCAGTTCCGGCGGCCTTGAGAGCAACATCAACGTATAATCTGATCGAGTAAGAGGACAAGCCCTGCACAAATCTGATATTCTGGGCCCTTTTTCTTGCGTTCGTTATTGGTTTGTTCCGAGGAAATCTTCTTATCAGGGGCGTCGAAAGTGGCACTAGGACCCCGTCCCATGGGTGACGAGGAACGGCTCCCGCCGAGCAGGACATGCCCCCCATGATGCCCAGCATGGGATGGTGTAGCCACCATAATATGTTTGATAAGCTAGCTCTCTCTGGCAGGGGTAGCTTATCATTGGTCGCAAAACCCTGCCGGCTTGAAAAATCCATTACTCGATCTCATCGAGTCAACTTCAAAAATGGGGCGGATTGTGGCATGGTGTAGGTCCTACCCTCACGCAAACGAGCCTGGGATGAACCGAGCGATCTTCCAGGGAGGAAACTCTGACGGATTGTGGCACAATCTAAGCTTCTTGTCGTCTTATTTTTCCAAGCTCACCTCATTGTTTTGTTATAGCAGGGAACCGGCGCAACCTCAATAGCAATCCGGCTTCAAAACGCAACATTCTATATTGGCAGTTTGGAGAAGAAAGACCCTTGAATAATCTTCAACTTGACGTCAAAACAATGGCTTGCTTGGATCTAGATGATCACCTGCCAGGCAAGCAAGTCGCATCGTTTTTTGAGGAGGATCGCGAGTGACTGGTGCAATCTCGACAGCTCGCATGCTACTATTATTCCGTATTTTGGGTAAATGGGATTCGGAACCATCTACCGCTAGCCTTTGACCCTGCAACTACCGGTACACCTTGGTTTGACTCGCTGCTGATAAGACGATGACTAGAATGTCACATCGAGATAAGCACGAACCCAAAAGCAGAATCCATCCACTCAAATTCATGTGGCTGGGAATCCACCGTGCGATCGACACACTAACACATTCCACTTATCTCCAGACCTGTTTCCCCATTCCTGGCACTCAAAGACAAACACCTAAACAGCAGCGAGTGAAGTGCCACAGTGCCAACGTCCCTAGGCTTCTATTCCAGCCTTGGCTGCTTGGTCCAGAGGATGGCCATTAAAACTTAATAGAACCGTGGCCGTCGCCGCGTCCCAAGGAGTAATCATGTCCAACAACATGAAAGGCTGTCATTGCTGGGGAGTGCCGAAGTCTGTCTGGAACATGAGGCGAATTTTCTATTTTTCCGGAATTCCAAAGTTACCGAAGACCCCCGGAAGTTAAAAACTCTAATCTGAAGCCCGATCAAGACAAGCGTGACAGCCGCTCTAACCTGTCGGGAAGATCCATGGGATTGGATGTTCTGGTTTGGAAATATTCGCACCGGCTAGCGCCACTTATTGGTGGCGGGAGATAATATTGTGGCTGGTGTCCAACGGATTCGACAGTTCTTGACTTTTGTCGTGAAGCTGGAATAGCTTCGTGTGGCTAGTATCAGTGGCAGCCACCGCAGATGTGGCGTACCACCCGCACGCACCGCTCGGGATAGGTATTTCTACTACTTCTCCGGTTCGTAGATTCTCAAGAGGACAACTACTTTACTCTCAAATGACCAGACGCTGCGGTTCATCACAACTTTCATTTCAGAGCATGTCCAGTTGATGCCTCGGATTTGCGTTGTTGATTTGAAGCCACCAATCGGTTCGGCGGTGACTCTGTTCATATCGCAGATGTGAAGGCGGCTAGTTTTCACGTTTAGGTCAATAGAGAGCAACACGGTTCATCCAATACTTTGAGCATTGTCAACTGCAAGCGAAGACCTAATAACGTGTGTGCCGAAACGTGATAACAGTCGCAAAAGCTTGTGGACTAAGGCATGAATTGTTTCGAGGCTCTGACACGTGTGATGTGATTTTCTGAAGGTCGAACCACGTACTAACTCGTAGTTCTCTTTGGGTGCCTCAGATTATTCTCCGCTCCGTACAACAAGAAAGATCCATTTCAAAAGCGGTTTTCTTTCTGTCGATGTGTTAATCATTTCCCCGGCCTGAGTGTCGGCGTTTGAAGTGCGGTTGAAATTCGACACCATGTCATTTGCTGTAGCAACCATGGGATCAGGCAAATAAAGCAAGCCACCTTATTTTCCAGTCCCCCAAGAAGACGCGCAAGAATTCTTTCTCTTAAGCAGACAAATGTGACATGCAAAGTGCCGACTGGTAGAGTCCAGGTAAGGCTTTGCGTTGGGCATGTCAACATCGTCTATCCACCAATAACAGCTTCGAATTCTCCGGTCTTGCGAGTGCCTAAAGACCTCCAAGCCCCCCCCCCCCCCCCCCCCCCCCCCTAGCATATTCTAGCCCGGTTGTCTATGCCAAATACTAACCAAATGTCTCTCCGTTTCCGTCGCTGTCGCATGGCAAAGTGCTGAGACCCTGGGTGACTTTCACCTGCCCACTTACAAGGCCTGGCTTCAAAAGCACAACATAGTGGTGTCCCATTAAGGTACTCGGTGGGACAGACTAAGGAATCTTATCGTAATTATCAAGCTGAATTGCCTCATCTTTGTGGGTACTCCTCCCTTCCGCTAGCCATTTCTCCGGAATTGTCCCGCCTCCTCTTCTCATGAGGTGCCGCGCTTCGTTTTCACATCGTGGACTGTGTGCTTTACGCCATTGACAGCAGCCCTTTCATTGCTGCGACTTCACACCAAGATGGCTCTGCATCTAATCTCTCAATGTTGGCCGCCCCTATGGTCTGTACTGGCCACGCTAGCAATGGCAGCGCAAGTGATAATGGCGCAAGAATGCAACTACGTAGGCGGATGGTCCCTGAGATACCCTGCTTCTTCCTGTCCCCGGGACGCCCCTTTCGAGTGTGGCAAGGCGGGGGATCTGCAAATGCGGTGCTGTCCAACAGGACTATCTTGTGCAGGTGATGGAAGCTATGTCGGGAATTACTGTTGTCCGGGTAGGTGCTTCTTTCCCACTGCAAACCATTTCTTGTTCCAGCCTCTCCATGTTGAGGCGATTGTGGACATGCAATTGGTCGCTTACTCCCGGAAACACAGATTCTACAGACTTGAGGGAATGCCAAGATTTGGTGTTTGAATATCCCAAGGTATTGCGCTTAGTCTCTATCCGAATTGCCCTTAAGTAATGAGCTAACAGTCCAGTGTCCTGTATCATCATGGAATCTTTGGGCTGCAAATGAAACCGTTAACAACGAACCTCACACTGGTGCTTGGTGTTGTGAGCCCGGCTCGATAGGCATTTACCGAAATAACGGAACCGTCAATTATTTCTGCACGACCACTACCGTAACTACTCTCCAGACGAATTTCTATTGGGCTATGTCCATGACTACCGCGTCTTGCTCCGCAACAATACCTACTTTAGTCTCTTCCACGAAAAATCACGGAGCCTCTGCCCCGCCCAGTACGACTAGTTCTGACAGCAAGAACGATGCTGAATCTTCTGGGGCATCCAGCGGGGTTATCGCTGGAGCAACCGTCGGTGGCGTGGCTATAGTCGCCTTGATAGCTGCAGGACTTATCCTTTATCTAACGAGGAAGAATAAGTTGAAAGCCGAGGGGGTTCAGGCAGGTGGTAGCAAAACGCGGCATGTGAACGAACTTGAGGTCATGGAACCTCGATTCGAGATGGACGGCACAGATCCACCGTACGAACTTGATGCTACGACAGAAAATATACAAGAGGAAGGATATTCGCCAACAAGTAAAAGACCAGTATGAGTTACAGAAAGAAATTTATTTCTTCAAGTCAGGATAGTCTGAAGATGCTGCCGTCTTTTAGTAAATTCAATGAGGCATTTCCGCTTCTCGAAGAGGGCCGGGACTAAGACCATTAACAAGTTTAGTAAGCCGAGACGATCACAACTCTAAGGATCTATGCGACACATATATCTCCACGCGGATTCGAGAATGACTAGCCCGAGGCGGGAAAGATGCCGTCGTATATTGACATCGCGAAACAATAACGCACTGATCCGCTGGTCTGTCGTCTTCTTCACTATGTTCAATCACTTTGCGTACATAGGTTTCGTAAGTCTAATTAAGAAGACGTCTAAAAATAAGATCTCCATCTCAAGCTGGCACCGTGGGTTATGGGATACCACATCGCGACCTACATACGTGGAGACTTCTTTTGATGATGCCAAGTTTTCGCTGACGCTAGCGGCGAAACGACTAGCCTAATGATGGTTTAATGTACTTCATTCATCGAAAGGTGACCGTACCATCCCGTAGAGTCTCTCATGAAAATGCTACCAAAGATCAGCGCCTGTTGGATGCCTTCGGGCTGGGAAGCGTCCCCGACAGAGATCTTCTGCAACGCGAAGTGGTATTAGCCGAGGCCCGCAAGATCTGGACTTATAGTCTGCTTTTCCCTGGTCATGAAGAAAATTGAGATCTCACTGTTGGCAAGAGGCCCAGTTGCCTGCTGGAGGGGCTCCTGTCCGGTGCTGTGGAACACATGAACCGTACTACCAGTCAAGTTAACAAGGCCTCGGCGTTCGGGACACACATCAGGCACATGCTTGGCATTGAAGTCCAACTTCATCACAAAGTTCTCAAATTGCCCATCGACGGAGGGCGTGGAGGGGAATATCTTCTCGGGTAGCGTGGCCTTAAAATTGCCAAAGATTGCAATCTCGTTGCCGTTGTCGACACCGGTGCATTCACCGAACTGGTGAAAGCTGAAATCCTTTAACTCTAGGTTCACGATCTGATATTCATGGGTGTAATTTAGGGGCTTGGTGGCGTCACGCTGGACAGAAAAGTGAAAGAAGCAAATGGTGCAACGAAGCTGCAAAAAAGACATTGGGGGACGAAAGTGCAGAGAAGAGAATGCTAAATCTCGTTAAGAATATCAGCGGGCATTACTGACAAGAAATATAAAATTCAACGGAGCTGCTGGGCGAACTTCCGCCATGATTCCGATGCCATTCAAAGATAGGGTTCAAGACTTCAGACCGCCCCTGATAGACTTACAACATCAGACCCCAGCTTTGATATTAAACTTTATTAAACTTGACACGGAGTATGAACTTTCGGTGCAGGCCAACGTTTTGGGCGTACAATGCCATATTGAGGGTTACACCTCCAGAATACCAAACTTGTCGAGGGTGTTACATAAAGGGTGCTGTGTGCAACTTTAAGAGGTCCCACTGATATTTTATCGAAATCTCATATGATAGCTTTCGGGCAAACGGTAGACATCAGGGAGAGAGATGTAATCTGGGGTGGAACGACTGAGGGTACTACAGCAGGTGGCCGACCAGACTTGTCTATAGGGCACGACGGACGTGGCCCACGTTAGTACAGACAGCTAGGATCCTTCCACCGAGATTTCTGACATGGCTTCACAGTCTTTCTGCCAAGTCATTCATTAGCTAGTGTGTAGGTGACGTATGCTCGACTGCAGATTGTCTGGCCCAAATGTTCCCCTTCACCGACTCACACCGAGCTCGGTGTACCCCGCACGGAGCTCGGTACGGACGGTGACAAGCCGAGGCAAATCGCCTGAGCTCCGTGGACCAGGTCTCCCCGGATGTCCCCAACCTCGCTCGTTCTCACCCGCAACTCTTATCAATGAACGTTGGCGCTCCCTCTACTTCGACCGGTACATATCCAATCGATGAAATAGGTTCCTTATAAAAACGGCTGCGAAACTTGGATCGGTTTCCTTCGCCGACACTCTCAACTGGGATAGCCTCCTATACTTCATCTCCGCCTCCGCCTCCGCCGCCTCAGCCACCGCCGGCCCAGAGCTTCACATCGCATCTCTCGCCATACCCTTGCCACGGGTGCCAAGTTCTCTTCAACTCGCTCATAAACTTCACAATGGCCCAGAGGCCAAGCTTCGCGACTCCGCCCCCGTCCGTCCCGGACGTGGACGTCTCCTTCCCGCGCCCGCACGTCCTCCTCGTCACACTCAACCGGCCCCGCCAGCTCAACTCCATCCCCGCCGAGCTCCACTACGCCCTCGCCCGCCTCTACGACTGGTACGACGCCGAGCCCTCCCTCCGCTGCGCCGTCCTCACCGGCACCGGTCGCGCCTTCTGCGCCGGCGCCGACCTGAAGGAGTGGAACGCCCGCAACGCCTCCGCCGGCACCGCCGCACCCCCGACCCCATCCGCCGACCCGACGCCCGTCGCTGCCGTCGCCCCATCGGGCGGCGAAAACCCCGGCGACGGGTGGCGTCCGCCCGCCGGCTTCGGGGGCCTGTCGAACCGCGACGGTAAGAAGCCCGTCATCGCCGCCGTCAATGGGCTCTGCCTCGGCGGCGGCATGGAGATGGCCATCAACGCGGACCTGGTCTACGCATCCACCGAGGCCCGGTTCGGCCTCCCCGAGGTGACCATCGGCGTCATCGCCGTCGCCGGCGCCCTGCCGCGGCTCATCAAGTCCGTCGGCCGGCAGAGGGCCTCGGAGATGGCCCTCATCGGGCGCACCGACTACACCCCCGAGCAGCTGCTCACCTGGGGCCTGGTCAACGAGGTGGTGCCGCCCGGCTCGCTGATGGAGACCGCCATCGCCGCCGCCGAGGCGATCGCGAGGAACTCCCCGGACGCCGTCATCGTCTCACGGGAGGGGCTGAAGAGCGGGTGGGAGCCCGTGGGCCCCGTGGGGGCGACGGCGGCCGTCGAACAGGGCATCTACCGCAGGATGGAGGCCGGGGAGAACATGACGGAGGGCGTCAAGAGTTTCGTCGAGAAGAGGAAGCCCGTGTACAAAGATAGCAAGTTGTGAGCACCGTTCAGCGCAAGGAAACTTGGCGACAAAATGTATGATTATTGCTATGCCGCCGAGGTGTACACTCAAGAAGAAAAAGTCCTGTTTTTACTACGTTACACTAAGCAGACCGTTGGATATCACAAATCAACCCCTACTGCAACCTGACCATCCTGAAAACCCAAAGAGGATGCCCTACCAGCCCGCACACACCTACGCTTTGGTATCATCCACCCAAAGTAGCGGCCTCTTCCTTGTTCTCCACACGGTGGACCTCTCCAGAGCCCGACTCGAAAGCCTTGTCGTTGACGATGCCGTTCCCCTCGCCGGGGGTGCCCATGCTCGCTTTCCAGTACAGCTGGACCTTGCCGCCAGTGAACAGCCTGTCGATCTGCTCGAGGCTGAGGTTCCGCGTCTCCGGGTAGAAGAAGTAGATGAGCGGGATGAAGAGGGCGTTGAAGACGCAAAAGTAGACGTATGTACGCCAGCCGATGTTCTTGATGCTGACGGGGGTGATCTCGACGACGAGGAAGGTGAATATCCAGTTGGACGCCGTCGCCAGCGCCGCGGCGCGGGTGCGGATGGCGAGGGGGGCGTACTCGGCCGGCAGCAGCCAGGGGATGGCGAGCAGGCCGACAGCGAAGAAGAAGTTGAAGAGGAAGAGCATGACGATGGCGACGATGCCGGCGGGCACGCTGCCGTTGGAGACGGTGCCCGCGAGGACGGCCATGCAGGCGCACTGGCCCGCCGCGGCGAAGAGCATGAGCTTCCTGCGGCCGAGGCGGTCGATGATCCAGATTGGGATCAGGGAGGAGAAGAAGTACGCAATGCCGTTGAACCCCGCGAGCAGTAGGGAGAGGCTGTGCGTCATGCCGACAGACTCCTGGAAGATGACGGGAGCGTACTGGTGAGGTGTTAGCTATGTAGCGTCTGGGGTTGTGTAGCATATAGGGTTTGATTCTAGGAGACTACTTGCATAAGTTATGAGGTTGATTCCCGACAGTTGTTGCATGAATTGACCTCCGATCCCGAGCATGGTGCGGTAAAAGAACTTTTGGTCGCCGTTCTTGAACATCATCCGGAAGCTGCCGGCGTTGGCGGCTTCGCGCTCTTCGCGGATCGCGACCTGGATCTCGACCAGGTTACGCTCCAGCTTGGGCTCGGTATCGGTGATGGACTTGGCGTTCTTTTCGACGGCCCAGAGGATGTGGCGGGCCTCGTCGTGGCGGTCGTGCGCGATGAGCCATCTGGGCGACTCGGGGAGGACCAAGACGCCGAAGAAGGTCACGACGGCGAACAGGATCTGCAGGGCAAGCGGGAAACGGAACTGGGCGTCATTGGCGACGAAGCTCATGCCGTAGTCGACCCAGTAGGCGGTCATGACGCCAAAGATGTTGATGGCGAGCTCGATGGCCAGACCACGTCCTCGGCTGTCCGCCTTCATCAGCTCCGAGTGCCACACGGCTTTTATCTCCAAGATCAGCATTTCCCATAGTCGCTGCGTCGTCCACCCATCGCCCGGGCGTTGGAGATCAACTCACGAATGGTGCTGGTGTTCATGCCGTTGCCGAGCCCGGCGACTATACGGCCCACAATCAGCTGCGGGATGCCGAACGCCGCGGCCTGCAGCGCGGCGCCGATGCTGAGCACGACGCAGCCGATCATGATGCACTTGCGACGGCCGAGCTTCTCGCCGACCAGCAGACAAAAGATGGCGCCGAAGAAGCAGCCGATCTCGTAGATGGCGACAACTGTGCCCTGCAGCGAGGAGCTGCCGCCGCTACCGTTAGTCGTGTCGATCTCGGGGAAGGTCCGTGTGAAGGCGTAGCCGGTGAGGAGGCCGGACATGACTCCCTGGTCGTATCCGAAAAGGAGGAAGCCGGAGCCCGCCGTGGCCGTGATGGCCCAGTTGAGCGGTCGCCCGACTAGGATGGTCATGACGAAGAAGAGTTAACAAAAGAGAGTCTAGAGCCGTCGATGGTCCACGTTCCAGGGACGGAAGAACGCCTTTCTCGCGACGGGCCTGATCGCGGGTGACGAGAGTCGAGGAGTTGGTGTGACCGGGTCAGGGAGACGAAGAGGAGAACACCCCGCTTCACGATAGATGGGGATGCGGTTCTACATGTACAGAACACCAGGGCATGCCGTGCAGCGTTGGTGTTGAGTAGGGATTTGAGGAATGGCAGACTGTAGCCACCCAGGGATGCACACTTTCTTTAGTCTCCCCGGCATGAAAAACCAATTGGATCGGCTCAAAGCAACATCATTTGATTGCTGTCAAGCCCTTGAAGAGAGGAAGAGAGAGCGCGTGTCAAGTGTCACATCCCGCCACCCATGCAAGGCCCCCCCCACCCCCCCACGGAAAACCGAATAGAGTGAGGGACCCCAGCGCGGAGAAACGATGAGACCAGATCAGATACCTCTATGGAGTAGGTATCAGGGTGATTAACGGCCCGCAGTGAGTCTCACGTGGTTGCTGTGGGCAGTTGGAAGCGTCTTGACACGCGATTGGCTCTCAACCAACTGACTCGTCGGGACTGGGATGGGGCGGGAAAGACTTTTCTCAAGCCCAAGGTAGAGCCTCGTCCTGTGTTCTTACTACCTACGGTTAACGTTGCATCGCCTCTTTTTGGCGCCGTCTAGAGAGACTAATCGTCCCCTCCCTCCCTCTTTTTGATGTCCCCTAGAACAAGCAAGCTTTGTAAAACTCTTGGAAGAAGCCGAGGTTTGGGTGCGGATCCGGGGCTAGTGCCGAGAACCAGATGAACAAGGATTGGGACGAAAATCGCCGATTTGTGGCCATTGCGTTATACGGTGCGTGGAGCTGCCCTTTTTCGGAATAACAAGGAAGTTGAAAGCGCCCTCGACGGTCGGCACTTACACTCCCGCTCGATCAGTCGGTCCTTGGCGCACCGGGCTCACCCTCAAGAGTTGGATGACTGGCTTACAACCGACCAACATCGCATGTTTTACCCATCGTTGACGGCATCTCATTGCTCGGGTTTCGAAGAGGGCCATCGGAGAGCGCTCCCCTCCCTGCAGCAAACATGCCACCGTTTCAACCGCACGAACCAGACTTGCGGCTCAACCTGCCGCTGTTTATGACATGCCACCCACCCCGACCTCGACTATCGACGCGAGAGGGCTTTGGCCCGACAATTCCCGCCTTTGCATATCTTTCCCAACAGAGACGAAGGCGTCAATAAACCGACAAATGCCAGCAACCTGGTGTGGCGCGCCGACGAGTGCCGGTCGCGCTGAATCGAACGAAAAGCAGCCACCTCAGGCGGAGAGGGGCGGTTCACACAGCTTCAGCTTGCAACATGTTAAACGTGCGGTAGTGGTACGTACGGGCATCCGGCTCCAGGCGTCGAGTGCTTTCGCCGAGAATGCGGCTCGAGTTGCCTTTACATCACGTCTTGTTCCAGAAATCGCCTGTCCCTAACGGGCTGGACGGCGCCATGTCAAATCGGGCACTTATTCCCGTGGTGAGCCCCGTCGAAGAACGCTAAATAGCAGGACACGGGGAGATGAGGTCATCCTCGTCTTCTTACCCCGGCCAGCACCTGGTCATCTCTCCGCAATCCCGCATGGACAGCCGCACCCTGTGGGTTTCCGTCTGCAGTCCGTCAGCAACTACCCGTCAACTCCTCCATGCTTGCGGGGTCGGTCCCAGAGCCCATGCCGCAAAAGTGTGGAGAGACGGCTACCATACTTTTTGACCTTGGATAGGTACGTCTCAGAGCCAGTGACATCTTGGGCCGCCAATTCCGTCCCATCGGGCTGTCCTATTTCTTATGATCGAATCGCGACGCCAAATTATCAGACGGATGATATTGATGCGACGTTGATATTGGATTCCATGCATTTGGAGGCTGTGCGGTGGCCGAGTTATGGCGGCGGGTCCGCTGTCGAATCCCGCGCTCCAGGCGGGGAATGTCACAATCCATGGTGGTATCATCATGAATCCGTCGGCGTTGTCTCGATATTAGACCCAATACGGAATATTGACGCATGACGCCGAGGTCGCTTTGCGCCGACGCCTTCCCCGGCGGCTGGACCTGCTCACGCGTCTCAGTGTCAGGAGGAACTCATGTCCGTCTTTTAAGCATGAAGAGTTGGAAACTTTGTCTAGTCACCGGGATACTAACCGTCTCCCAAGTCACCCCAGAAGTCCTTCAGGTCATCTGCCCTCCACTTAGTGCCCCATCCGCTTTCCCTCTCGATCTTTTCTAGCAGCTCCAGTATGGCTCGGTGCTCTGCGGGGTGGCTCATGCAGCGTCCCGCAATCCAGAGGGGCTGGATGCTGTTAGTCCAGGCCCCGTGGTGGTGGTTGGTCATTGATATCCCGCATATCTGTCTGGCGTGCCAAAGCGCCGAACGAGGCTTCGGCGACAGTCGTAGCGATGCTGGTCTATTTTGCAGCATGAGAAGAGATGCCGTATGGTATAGCTGGTTCCCTGATATGGCGGCAGGGTTGCTGTAGAGGATCTTAGGGAACGGTTCCGTGTCGGACGAGGGTATGGACATGATGTGTTGCATCTCGGGCGGCCGGCGGCTGTGCCAGTCTTCAACGTATTTCCAAAGCTTCATCCATCTGACCCGGTGCCTCATGTCGTTCCTCGGGCCGTCAAAGAAGAGCCCACCCGGATTTGCCTTGGCGAGCGGAGCCAAAAGGTCAAGAACTTGACCACAAAGATAGACTGCGTAATTCGCCCACATATCGTGGCCTGGATTGGCGAGGAACAAGGCAACGTCTGCTTCAAGGTCGCTACGCGACGCCCAATGGTTGACGGGTATCAAGGTCTTGACGGACGATATGAGACCGCCGCACACGTCCATCCGGATGAAGCACCAAAACAGAGCCTGTTCCACGCCACCAACGAAGCCGTTCATGCCAATGGCCTCCATCAGGCTGGCGCATCCGTCCAGATGTCTTCGCCACGCCTTTGGCGAGCAGCTGGCCATTTCCAACACGCAGAGCACGACGCAAGATGCGGTCACGGCCGTTGTCCGGGTCGGCAGTTGTGGTAAGAGCAGGTGTATAGCCTCCTGGTAGAGCGCTAAACTCTGGTCTGTTGGGCGGGTTTTATCCTTCAGCTCGAGCTGGCGGGCCGACAGGGCCAGCATGGAATATCGCAGGTGGTTGTGGAACCGAGCCATCGTAGGCAGAGAATGTTGAAAGTGGCGTTGGTTGTCAAACTTGTCCAACCAAGGAGAGATCTCGTCAACCCAGTTCTTCCACAATGCGCACTCCTCCTCCAGTGGCAGGAAGGGGGGTTCGTGGTCTGAAGATAGGTCGTCGACGGTTTCGGCTGCTCCTCCTGAGGAGGACGGCCCCGAGCTGGCGTCAATGGAGCCCGAGTCCGATCTCCGCCTCGGGGTGTGAGCAGAAGCGGGCGAGGCCTGCCTCGTTGGGCCATTGGACCGAACTTCTTGGATTAGATGGTTTCTTAGCGTCGAGTGCAACTCGTGGTATGCTGAGCCTGGGAGGAAGATGCCGTCTTCGTAGGAGCCTTCAGGGGTGAAGATTTGGTCCATGAAATCAAACGGCGGGTCCATCAAATGGTCCATAGATAAAGCCGCAGGTGGTATGGAATGGACTGTGGATGTAGGGTGCTGATGAGGCGCCTGGGCGCGGCCGCCTTGGCTAAGGTAAATGAGGTTCGCCACGGCGCTATCGGTGATGAGCTGCGAAGCGGAGGTTGGCGAGGCGCGGAAGTCGATGCGATCAGTAGTCGACGGATGCACCTTGCTGGCAGGCTCATCCTCTCGACGGGCCTCGGGGCTCAAGAGAGCAGCAAAGGCCGACGTCTGCACACTTTCGGTGGGTGCGGAACTTGGCCCAGACGAAGACAAAGTCCTTCGGGCGGTACTGGAGCCGGCGATGGAGGCCGTGTGTGCGCCGGCGGTGGGGGTCGAGTAGGACAGGGGGCTGTCGAAGTAGCCGGCCTCGTCCTTTTCATACTGGGGGCCACAGGCGGCCTCGGCTTCGGCTCTGGAGGGTGACAGATCAGGTTCCATTTCTCGGTCAGAATCATAGTCGTGGAAGCCGGGAGGGAGGTGGTAGTCGCGGATGACCTCGTCAGTGATGTCGAGAATCTCAAATTGGCGGCGCAGAGGCGGGCGTCGAGCCTTCTTCATTGAGGGGTGGTCTTGCCGTATTGTTTGGGCGTTCTCGGCGCGGAAGGTGACCTTGACACCCCATTCGCACCTCTCATTCCGCCTCGAGCATCCGCCACAGGCAGGACGACCCTCGTCGCACTTGCGCTTTTTACGGCGGCAGTTGAGGCAGCCCGTCCGGGTCCGGGTCCTCTTCTTCTTGGCCGGCGGGGGCTGTTCGGAATCGCCCGGGCGTCGGCCGTCGTCGCCATCACCGTCGTCGCCGTCGTCGCCGTCGCCGGGAGGTGGCAAAGACTGTTCCTCTTCGGCGGCCATAATGGGGTCGCGGTCATCGGCACGGGATGCGCGTCCGCAAGCGCAAGTCGGACGGGGGACAACGCCCACTGGCAATGCGAGGAGGGTGGGTAGGTAGGGTAGGCTTAGCAAGCCCCCCCGTCGCAAAGTAGAAAAAAAAAAAAAAAAAAAAGCAACAACGCTTGTGTCAAGTGCCTGTGAGCAACAGACGCTTCGACATGCGTCCCCTCGGAAAAGCTGGGGCAGCGCAGAAACGATGGGATGTGTAGGAGAAAATGAGTGGCCGAATGCTATTATGGGGCAAGCTCGGCGACCCTCAAGCAGCCAGAAGACTCAGTAGTGGTAAGGGATTATAGACTCGAGTAAGGGCAGAGTCTGATCCGACTCTGGATAGACTGGATGGGGCCAGAACGTGATATCAAAACAGAGTTCATTTTAGATCTGTCCATCTCTCACACCCCCCTTTTTAGTAATTACCTACCCCAGTCGACGATGTTGCTGCCCAACAACGGTGGCCCTGGGAGGCCGGGCAACAACTATGCCTCCTCTCTTGCCGCCGTTGCAATTGGATTTGCGTCTCTACATAGTATTACATACCTAGGTAGTGACTTGGAGGCTTTGGCTGTAGGTAAAGGCCAAGACGAAGGAAGTTGCAAGCGGGTAAGTGGTGGTGGTTGTGGACAGAAAGGACACAGTACGTATTACATTACCTATTACCTACCTACACCTACCTGTAGCCGTAGGTAGGTAGGTAGGTGATAGATAGAGAGTTACCGTAGTACTTCAGTGGAAGCCTAGGCCCGGGGACCCCAGAAAACCGCCCTGTCTGACAGCGCCTCGGACAAACTCTACCCGGATTGCACGGGGGTTGGTTGGTCTCAGCCTAAACCCTCGTCTCGGGACCTGGGCGGACTCGGCAAACCCCCTCCCTCGTTGAAGCCCTCGCATCGCTTAGCGACAAGTATCTATCTGCCTGCCCTACGTGCCTGCCTACCTACCTACAGGCTACATACCTACAGCATACAGTACATACCTAGCAATCCACTTGGACATGTACATAAATACCTACTCGGACACTACACATCCGTCCGTCCAAAGCAACCCTGATGCTTTTCTCAATGCCCTTTTCCCGCTTCATCCGTCACCTTTTCACCTTGAACAAGGTCTAGTGCTTCCGAGCACAAGCATCACCAGACACCTACTAATGCAGCAGAAGCTCGTCTCAATGACTCGGGGCCTACCAGCTGATGCATACTACGTACATCGTAAATACATTGTCCACGCCATTGGCCGGGCTGTATGTACTCACACATCCCGGCATACACGTGTACAGTGACCGAGTCTCCTAGCCAGACTGCCATCAGACAGGTCGGCCATGACGAACATCCCAGGGTGATCCGTGTCTACGCAGACCCCATTTGCCTGCCAAATCCCAAAATGTCTTCCCAAACGCCGCCGCACCCCTTTCTACCTACCGACCCCTGGTTGCCAAAACATGGTCTTCCTCCCCGCTCTCTCTCCCACAACCCGACATTTTCTCCCGTCAGCAGATATACAAACCACCACCAGGATATGGGATGAATCGCGGATCAATGCCGGACTGGGTTGAGGTCGCGGAACTCTCCCCGAAGGCTGTCCACGCCATTGGCCCTGACCTCCTCCACGAGGCGGGCGACCGCCGGCGCGATGACGGCCTCGTCGAAACCAAAGTATCGATACGCGTCTGGGCCCGGCAGCGAGTGGCCGAACGTGCTCATCGAGAAGCCCGCGTCCGCGTACCGCTCCCACCCGTTGACAGCGTAGGCCTCGATCACCACCCGAGGCGCCTGCGACCGGTACTGCAGCACCTCCCTCTTGTACTCCACCGGCTGCCGCTCGAACACCCGTTGGCAGGGAAAGCTTACGATGCGCGCTGTCATGCCGTGCTTGTCGGCGAGCACCTGGGCCGCCTTGACGGCGAACACCATCTCGGCGCCCACCCCAATGAGCGTGACGTCCGCGCCCGCCGCCTCCCGGAACACGTAGGCGCCCCGCCGCACGCCCTCGCGCGATGTGTTCTGCGGGTACTGCTCGAGGCTCTGACGGGAGAGCGAGATGATGGTCGGCGTGTCCTTGGCCTCCATCGCCAGAACAAACGCGCCAGCCGTCTCCTCGCTGTCGCACGGTCGGACGTAGAACAGATTCGGCATCGCCCGGTAGAGGGCAGGCAGCGCGATGGGCTGGTGGGTGGGGCCGTCCTCACCAGTGCCAATCGAGTCGTGCGTCGCAATGTGAATCTGCTGCAGGCGTTGAAGGGCACCCATGCGCACACCGGGGGCGGCGTACTGCTCTTTGTTAGCAGGCTCTCGAATGGCCGGGGGTCCGGAAAGGTAGGGCCATTTACGATGTAGAACATGAAGAAGCTGGACGTCACCGGCAGGATGGTCCCTTTGTTGAAGGCAGCCAGACCGTTGGCGATGGACGCCATGGCGTGCTCGCGGACGCCGTAGTGGATGTAGCGGCCGACGTAGTTGCCGTTGGTGCCGCACGTCGTTTTCAGATCAGGCTAGGGACGTCCATCAGCAAACGCGCAACGCGTCGGTGAGCCCAAGACGTCAGCAGATTTCAACCCACGTTTTGGAAGTCAACACTGCCTTTCCACATCATGTTAACAGAGGGTGACAAGTCCGCAGTGCCGACCATCAGGTTGTTCAGGCCGGCGGCGATGGGGTTGCAGACCAAACCCGCCGATTTGCGCGAGGGCGTCGGCGTGGTGGGAAACTCCTCCTTGGCCGGGATGAACTTGCGCCAGTCGTCGACCCAATCCCCGGCAACACGTTTCTTGAACTCGGCAGCTAGCTCGGGGTGGTCCCGCGAGTAGGCCTCGACCAGCTCGTTCCACTCGGCTTCGATCTTGTCGCCGCGAGACACGGCCTCGCGGAAGTAGTCGTAGACACGGTCGCCGATTACGAAGTGCTGCTCGGGGTCCATGCCAAAGTTCTTCTTGATGCTGGCGACGTCGGCGGCACCGAAGGCGGCACCGTGGGCCTTGGCGTCGCCGGCGACGGCGCTGCCGATGCCGATGACGGTGTGGATGTTGATAAAGGTCGGCTTGTCCCTGCTGCCGCGGGCCTTGTCCATGGCGCGGACGATGGTCTCGACGTCCCAGTTACCGTCCTCGATGTCGATGACGTCCCAGCCGCAGGCGCGCATCTTGGCGTTGACGTCCTCGGTATTGCAAAGGTCGACGCTGCCGTCACAGGTGACCTGGTTGTTGTCGTACATGACAACCAGGTTGTTGAGCCTCCAGTGGCCAGCAAGCTGGATGGCCTCCATGGCCACGCCCTCTTGCAAGCAGGCGTCTCCGATCATGCACCACGTCATGTTATCGACGACGGGGAAGTTGGGGCGGTTGTAGGTGGCGGCCAAGTGCTTGGTAGCGACGGCAAGACCGACGGCGTTGGCGATGCCCTGGCCTAGGGGACCGGTCGTCACCTCGATGCCCTCATGTTCGATTTCGGGGTGACCGGGGCAGAGGGAGTCGGTGCGTCTCGAGTGATAGGACTTGAGCTGGTCGAGCGTCATGTTTTTGTAGCCGGTCAAGTGCAGGAAGGTGTATTGGAACAGACATGTGTGGCCATTGGAGAGAACGAAGCGGTCTCTGTTGAAGTAATTTGGGTTGCTGGGGGAGTATCTCATGGCGTATTTCCAGAGGGAGGTTCCGATGGCGGCCATGCCCATGGCGCCGCCAGGGTGGCCGCCCTCGTACTGCTCGCATAGGTCGGCGATGAGACAGCGGAATATGCGAAGAACAAAGTCGACCTCCTTCTTCCCGGCTTCTGTGAGCTGGAACGGGCTGGTACTGGCGGCGTTGAGGGACTTGGAGGCGATGACGTCGTGGGGAGCGGGTTCGGAAGGAACTGCGCTGGGCGCCATTGTGGTGATTTTTCGGTCTATCTGCGAGTAGTTGGCCGGGACTTGAACGATGGAGGAGGTGATTTTCGGATCTCGATGAGTGATGGAGGGGTAGCTCTAAACTCATCCGTCGCATAAGCACAAATCGCTCGTCGCGTCGAGTGAACAAAAGTGAGATCGAGTCGCTGTTGACAGCGCAGCAATGAGAGACCGCGGACAGCATACCAGCAAAGGTCAGTCGTCGCAGTCCATTTGGATTGATATAAGGGCGACTAACAGCCGACTTGGAACCCCTCCGAGTGAGTGTTTAAGATGGCCGTATTGGGATGGCAAACAGGATGGCCAACCAGCACAGCAATGGGAAGCATGCATTGCAGTATCAGGAAAGAGCGCTTAGGTTTTCCCGTTTGGGATATATGAACGGGACGACGTGCTTGGGGCACAAAGTTTATTCGGTAAAGAAACGGAGGACGGGATGCATTCCACACCTTACCTTGCATACCTACCCAGTCTGGATAGGTAGGTAGACTCTAGGTCCATCCCTCTCACTGAACACTCGTGCCTCAGGGCAACAGCTACCTAGTAATTGTTGAACTGGCAGAACAGAATAAGATACCTTTGGTAGGTAGGGATAGGTAGTAAGGAACGAATGGGACACATGCGGGTGGGTTGAAACGGTAAACGGATGATGACTCATCGTGCTCCACTCAGGCCGGTACCCTTGGTCCGTGCTCGATGGTCTGGGGGAGAGGAGATCCGAAGCGCCTGCCTCTGTGGGGGTCGCACTTACCGTCTACACTGGTTAAATCCGCCTTTAGCTACTGCACGAGCTAACGGTAAGAGGCAAAGTGGGGATCCATAACGCTAAGCCTAATATAGAAGGCGGTCAATAAATCCACTGATCCACCTACTTGCCTACTTGCCTACCCACTTGCCTACTTGCCTATCCACAGTTAACTTTACTAACCTATTAACCTACTACGGTATTCATAATACCTGACCGCCAGCCGCTAGGCGAAATTAACCTAAATATTACACCTGTTATACTACTACTGTTACGTAAGAAAAAGGGCAAAAAACCTACACTAATTATTAACTAATAATATATACTAAAAAAGACTATCTAATAAGTTAAAAGGTTGTATAGGCAGCTAAAGCAAGCTAACGTACTGCTGTACCTTAAGCATTACTATTACCCCCTTTCCCCTAGCTAATAACGTCGCTAACAGCCTAGTAATACCCCTCTTAACCCTGCTAACAGCCTCTGCTGCCTAACTTTTTAAGAAGCTGCTAACTACTTTAAAATACTAATAATAACTATTAGAGATTAGTATAGCTAGCAGGATATAATTATTAGCCTATTAGTGCGTAACTATTAACTAAAATAGCTAGCTTTAGAGGCTAAACTCTATAGTTACTTTCTATAATAATAAGCTAGTAATAAGGTTGTTACTACTAGATAGTTTAAGCAGGAGGCCTAGGCCTTTTTTACTACTTTATACCCTAATACTATTATTACTAGTAACCTACCTAACTATACCTGCCCCTTCTAATTATAATAGACTATTAAAATCACAAAGAAGTATTAGTGATTATAGGTCTTGTATTATATAGAAGCTAAATCTTAAAGAACTATTCTCCTGTGATTTATAAGGCTATTACTAGCTAAATACGCCCCACTCCCTAAAACACTATACTAACCTTAAGATAGTTAGGCAGCTGTTACTACCTAGTCTTAAGTAGCGCCTTTTAGTTAAGCGGTTATTGTCCTATAATAATTACGCCCCCTCCTAAGCCACTTGTCCTTATGTAGCGTTTTAAGTTAAGTAAGTAGGGTTTCTAGATCCTTTTTATAGCGTTTCCTAGGCTAATATAGGCCTAGTCCCTAGGGAATTCCTAGCCTTAGTCTGTATACGCTTAAACCTTAGTTACTTACTAAGGTCTAAGTTTTTTTTTCCTACTTTTTCTTCTAATTTAGTTTATTTATATTATTATTACTAGGTATTTTTATATTTTTTACTTTTATAACTATCTTAATTTAATAATTTTTTACTTATAATACCTTAGTTAGCTATTATTTTTTATATTTTAATTTTATTTTAGGTTACTTTAGTATTTTACTTTACTTTACTTTACTTTATAATAATAAGTTACTAATTTAACTTTTATTAAGTAATATAAAACTCTTAGTGCTATTAGGATTATATTATATAATAAATAGTTAAAGCCTTAGCTTAATACTATTATTATATTACGCGCTATACTAAAGATTAATTTTTTACTACCTTTATAAGTTTATCTTTTAGGTAGCCTTTTAAGAGGGTTTTAGGTTTATTAATACTTTATTTTTAGGATAGTTTATTATTAAATAGTAAAAAAAATAATTATAATAATAACTAAAATAATAATAGTCTAGGCTTTAATAAGAAACTTTCTAATTATAATATTATACTTTTACCTCCTCTACCTCTTAGTAATAAAGATAATAAGAGTCCTATACGTTCCCTTAATTATAATAATCCTCTTAGCCTTAATCCTAAGCGTAATAAGGATAGCCCTAAGAATAATCCTTAAGACCTTAGTAATAAGCCTAAGGAACCTATATAAATCCCTAATTTACTTCTTAAGCGCCCTTATACTACTAACTAGCCTTATATATATTACTTTTATACTATAGTAAAAACCTATAAGGAGGGTAAAACCCTTACTAACTTCCCTCTAATTATAAAGTATATCTTTACTTTAAATAGTTCTTTTTATTACGTTTAGTATAACTAGTATAGCACTAGTTATACTCCTATAAGTGTTAATAGGTAATTAATTAACTAATTACTAATATTTTCTTATAGTATTTTTTTACTATCTTAAGTAATTACTAAGATATACTATTCCTTTTTAACTCCTTATATATAATAGTCTGTTATAAGGAAACTAAGGATATTTAGAAGGAATTATTTAATCTTATATTAGAGATTATTAACGTTTTTATTATACTTAATATTAATCATTATTATACTTTTATAAACTTTATATTTAAGTATCTTAAACCTATATAACCTATTTATACTTTTTTATAAATATTTTACTAACTTTTTTATATAGACTAACTTTTAATCCTATAATACCTTAGTTAGTACCTATTACCTTATTTAGTTATAGTATATTACCTAGATCTTAGGTAACCTTATTTAGATACTAGTCTATTATATAGTATGCTACTTATTTTCTTTTTTATTTTACTTACTAACTTTAGTAAGACTAGCACTAGAATCTATATTTTTTTTTTAGTAACTAAGGCTATATATCCTAGTAGTTATTTAAGTATAAGGTTTATAATAATCTAGTTTACTTAGTTTATTAGAACGCTATTAAGTTAGTAACTTAGCGCCCTCTTATATACTTCTTAGTAGACCTTTATAAGTATATTAACATAATAACTTATAGCTACTAGCCTACTTTTACTTATTTTTAGCCTAATAATTAGGCTTAGGTTTAGTTTATATTATATATTAGAATTAGTAAATTCTTAATACCTTTTTACTTAGTTTTTACTTATATTATACCCTTATTATTTATTCTTAAAATAGCTTTATAGTAGTCTATATCCTTTAGGTAAGTTAGTCTATACTTTTTAGTACTTAATTACTTTAGTTTTATACTATTATTTTACTCTTTTAGCTTTTCTTATTATACTTTTCTATAGTTACTTAAGGCCTTTTTAGTATTTACTAAGTCTTTTTTACTAACTTATAAATTATACTTAGAAGGCTAGCCTGTCTATTTAATTAAGAAGTACTTACCTTCTTTAGTATTTCTTAAATTAATAATATAATTAAGTTCTTATTATTTATTATCTCCCTCTAGGTCTAGTATTAGTAAGGGTTTATTATTCCCTTTATTACTAACCTAAGGTTTTAAAAGGCTAATATAAAATACGTTATATATCTTTATATACTTTTCTAGTAGTATAAGCCTATACGCCTACTAGCCTACCTTTTATAGTATATAAAATAGCCCTATAAACCTTAGGGCTAGTTTCTATTCTATAGCCTTAAACCTAAGGTTTCTTACTAATAATATTACTAGTTATCTTTAGTTAAAACTTATAGGTTAGTAGTAGTTATTATAGCCTTTTACCTACCTTTTTACTACTTATTACTACTAAGTTATTAAGTTAGCTTATAACTAAGCTAATTTCTTTAGGTAATCTCTTACGCCTTAGACCTCCCCCTTCTAGACTTAGTCCCTAAAGTCTATATACACCTCTAGGTTATACCTAAGTAGCGCTTAAAATAAGGATATTCTAGTTATTACGTTTTTTATATTATTTACTATAAATTCTACTAAATTAAGTAAAGATAGCTAGTAGCCTTCTTAGCCTGCTATAAAGCACTTAAGGTAGTGTTTTACTACCTTATTTACTACTTTATAAGGTTTATATAGCTAAGCCTTTATTTCTAAGTATATACTATATCCCTTAATATAGTTACTAACCTTTTTAGTAAGGCCTAGCTACTAGAACTTCTATTTAATTAGGTCTAAGGTTCTGTCCTTTCTAAAGTGTCTTACTAGTAGATTATTATAGTATAGAGAAATTATCTCTTAGTAAATACTAGCTTCTTAAGGAACTACTACCTTATTCTTATAATAGACTAAGTCTTAGTGTCTAATTAACTAGTTCTTATTTATAGTCTGCCTTTCTAGCTGCTCTTAGACCTATTTTATTTTAGTATTAGTTACTTATAGCTACTATATTATTTCTAATAGCTTATTAGATAAAGTTTTATTATAGACCTATTCTTTTACTATAGCTAGTTTAGCTTATCTATATATAGTAACTTAAATATAGGTTACCCTCTAGACTTTTATCTAGAAAAAAGTATCCCTTTATAAAGGAATCTTAAATTAGATAGCACTAATAAGGTTTATATTTAGTTACCTCTCTATATAATAGTCTAGTTATCTTAATAGCCTATTAGTAAGGTTATTCTTTTTTTATTAATAGTTAATAGTAAAGTTAA